CAAACACCTACACCCGCTCCTGCACCATCAACTACTTTAGTCACATCAACAGTTCCAACCACAACTATAATAACTATTCCAATATCATCAATAACGACGACCCCGGTGTCATCAACAAGTCAGTCTTCATCCCCAGCCCCTGCCACAACTACATCAACTACTCTAGTGTTATCAACAATTGAGTCTTCAACAACTCCATTTACAATGACTACAACATCCTCTCAAACCACACCCACAACCCAGCCTCTAACAACTACAACCGCTCCGGCACCATCAACTACTTTAGTCACATCAACAGTTCCAACCACAACTATAATAACTATTCCAATATCATCAATAACGACGACCCCGGTGTCATCAACAAGTCAGTCTTCATCACCACCCCCTGCCACAACTACATCAACTACTCTAGTGTTATCAACAATTGAGTCTTCAACAACTCCATTTACAATGACTACAACATCCTCTCAAACCACACCCACAATCCAACCTCTAACAACTACAACGGCTCCCACCCCACCAACTACTTTAGTCTCACCAACAGTCCCAGCCACAACTACATCAACTACTCCAGTCTTATCAACAATTGAGTCTTCAACAGCACCATTTACAATGACTGCAACTTCAGCCACAACATCCTCTCAAACCACACCCACAATCCAGCCTCTAACAACTACAACGGCTCCCACACCATCAACTACTTTAGTCTCATCAACAGTCCCAGCCACAACTATAATAACTACTCCAGTATCACCAACAAGTCAGTCTTCATTAACAGCTCCTGCCACAACTACATCAACTACTCCAGTTTCATCAACAATTGAGTCTTCAACGACTCCATTTACAATGACTGCAACTTCAGCAACAACATCCTCTCAAACCACACCCACAATCCAGCCTCTAACAACTACAACGGCTCCCACAACAACAACTGCTTTAGTCTCATCAACAGCTCCAACCACAACTACATCAACTACTCCAGTCTCATCAACAAGTCAGTCTTCATCAACAGCTCCAGCCACAACTATATCAACTACATCATCAACAACTTTATCAACTAATCGAGTCACATCATCAACTCATCTTTCAACTCCAACTCCAACAATCATTGTATCCAGAACTACAGCATCACATCTTGAAACAACTCCAGCAACAACTACCACATCAGCAAGTACAGCTCAGGTCACAACAATACCTCAGCCTTTAACCACAACAATAGCTACAACTCAAGCTGGAACAACTCGTCTTTCAACATCTTCAACATCTCCTCAAATAAGTACTACTTATGCGATGTCATCACCGGTTCCAACTACAACTCCTGCAACATCTTTACGTAGCTCAACAGCTACTACAATAAATCAAGGTATGACACCAGTATTTAGCAATATATAAACACAGTGATATACTAACATAGAGTAAACTGTGAACCTCTACAGGACCCTTTATTGTGGCCAGACTTCAGATGCGAATTAGTTCCAATAATGAACTCACCAATGAATCCCTTGAGGAGTTTGTGACTCAGGTACAGTATGTAAAACAATTGTGAAATACTTTTTAAGTTAAACTTCTTCATCCCATTAAATCCAGTATTTATTTATTTTTCTTTCAGTTTTTTCGACAAGTCCTCGAGGGCACAGCTCACACAGTCAGCATGAAAAATGTCCAAAGAGTATAATATTACTTTGAAGTGGACAGAAACTGTCAACATGCTCTATAAAAAGCCTGCACCGGTAAATCTTCAGTTGGACCATCCTTCAGTGTGGTCATACTTACATCGAATATTTCTTTGTACTCCGGGTGTAAAAAAAAAATCATTGTTATACCAACTTTGATATTTTGCTTGAAAAAGAGTCCCCAAAAATATTGGTACTGTACAGTTTATTGCACATCTAATTACTTTAAACAGTGGAAGTGCACCCTAGTATCAAGTGTGATGTTATCTGTACATGAACAAGTGAAAGCAAACCTAAGAAATGAGAGCTGTCAACCGCATCACTTGCTCTGCCTTTGTATTTTGATTAAAAGCTGGCACAGTGACGTGGCTGCAGTTACCAGAACATTCCATTCCATTCACGATTTTCCCTCCTCTTTCCTTACACGCCAACAAGTAAATGTCATGCAAAACATTTAGCAGCAATAAACTTGATAACTTCCTGATTCCAGGTATGTGAGTAGCCATATAGGAGGGAAATGGAATGTCATTGTCAACAGAGGGTAAATTTATGTGACACTGATAATCAGTGATTCATTTTTACATATGACTTGACTTTCCAGTTTATCACTGGTAGACTGTATTAGGCAACACGTGGAGTTTATGTGATCTGTGAGTAGACAAACTGGCCTGAACTACTAGCACTTGTTTTTATGTGAACAGGATACGTGTAGCTTTGGTTTTACTTGAATCAATATGAATAATTGTAAATATATTTATTGTTTCGTGTGTTGCTGTATCCTAACCCAGAATTTGTCTGCCGGGTTTCAACACATGGCTGCAGGCCCACACAGGTCCCATCCAAAGTTGACCACATTGGCATTATTATCACTGATCCCAACCTCACTTTCAGAAAAGGTGGTTTCAGGGACAACAGTGTGATAAAATCTGATTTGTCATTTTGGTAGTTCAGTTAAACATTTATCAGAAAAGAAGACAAAAAATACTGGAGCTAGTGCTTTCCATACAGCCTACAAAAGTCGGGCCATTCACTTAGCTAAATATATAAACACAATGTTGGAACCTTTTGTTGTAGTTCGATGTGTTCAAAGTAAACTTCTTCTATGACACAGTGCACAAAGTGACGAGACATGACCTGTATTGGTTGCTGCTTTTATACCCAATCTTAGCATTTAATTGTTTCATGAGTACCTAGAATCATGGATCCGACACATCACTAGTGATTAATGAATGAATTACTTAACACTCTTTTCATGCACTGACATTTCTGTACATTGATTATAAAGCACATTTGTTATTTTTTGTTGTCACAACAAAAGATTCTTGAATCTTTAATGTAAGGATGAATTGTTGGGTAAAAAAACCAATGCTGCTTTACATTGTTTTAAATAAATAAATCTGATCTTGTTTTACGTGAACATGTTGTTTTCAACTGTACGTAAAATACATTTTATGTAATCTTTAAGTCTTTGTAATTAAATAAAACACCCTTGAGTGATGTAAGATATGCTGAAGGTGTTTAAAAGAACGTTTTGTGGTTATGAGAGTGATCTCAGATTAAAGAGCTGTGGTGTGTTCACAGTCACAGACAATTGTTGCCATGGAGCACAAAGAATAAATGTGTGTATGGAAACAGAACGCTCAAACAACTCAGAGATCTGTTTCAGCTTTGGGAGGGAGAACGAATTTCAAGATCTACAGTTTCTGGTTTGGTGAATTAAAAAAAAACCAAAACACTACCTTCATCTCTGTAAAAAAGAAAATTACACCAATAAAACTTATAATTGTAACTTGAATAAATAATAATCAACTGCAGAAACATTTATTAATACCTTCGATACAGTCTTCCATTTAAAACCGGACATTCAAGGGGAACTGTGTTATTGATGTGCCCCCCTGCCCCTAGTTAAAATGAGTGGGACACCCCTTGTTCTATTACATTCATTTAACAAATGTTATATTTAACAAAATACACAGCAGTTACTGTCTTCACCAACAAGCTACTTTAATGACACAATAAATACTTTCCTTGGTAACTAACTAAAATGTAACTAGTATTCACTGGAATTTGTGTCTGTATACTGTATCATGCATACACCAGAACACACAAAAGGTGAAAAGAATTAATGGCATATTTATTCAATAATTTATTTAAACATAAAATAATAAAATGCATTGGTACAATAGATTGTTTTTTCTTTTATATGACAATATTATTGCACATTGTCATTATTGTTGTTATGAAAAATGAATACTTTTTATTCCATACAATTAGAGCAGAAATGTGGGACCTATAGTATTTTGTTTCATCATTTTAAATAAGCATTTTCATGTCTTTTTTTTTTAAAGTCTAGCTATAAAAATCTCAAAAGTTCAATTTTATAACCTACCATTTAAAAGAAAAACAAAACAAAAGAAAAAGGCTGAGGTTTTTGGAACCACTATTTCATCTAGTAACCATTGTTTCCCCAGTTGAAACTGTGCTGAGTGTTTCGAACTGTTCTGCAGAGTCAGCGCAACTTGACGGTTCTCAACCAAGATGCTGCGCCTTATCTTCTTATCTTTTTATCTTCACTCCTGTAACTGCCTGTGCTCACCTCAGAGCAAATCTTCCTGACCAGAGAAGACAAAATTACAGAGATTCTAAATTAGGCAGTAACTCCATCATTTCTAACAAACATTTCCTGGAAATGATAAACGACGAAAGAATCCAAACGGTCAAATCAAATAATTAAAAACTACTGTAAATAAAATCCAGAGATAAAATGTTATAACTAGGGACTAATAAATATAAAGAGAAATAGCTAACGATTTAGTTTTTAAAAAAAAACCAGATACAGTATAATAAACTATTTTTCTATCTTCTTCTTGACATATATTAAGTACCTGATACACAGATACCTTGTCTGACCTGTTTCTCTCAGGTGACACGTTGGCAGATTTTTCAGAATCCGTCTGTTAAGACAAAAGCATCATTGTTGCAGTCATTGAAAACAGAAGAAGTTAAATATTTTGATGCTATCTTTTTTGTTTGTTTGTTTTTTTTTGAGTCTAACAAGGAAATAAAAACACAAGTTGAATCTGTCATGTAAAACAGGCCGGCACTTACACGACTACAGTTTCTAGATTGAATCTCTCAGACATCGATGTGTTGCATTAAACGTTTGTAATACAGTGGAACCTCGAGATACGAACTGCCCGAAATACGACTTTTCCAAGTTACGAGTCAGCAACTTTTGCAAGATTTTCCTCATGAAACGAGGAAACATCGAGTTACCAGTGCTCAACCCAGCTCCATTTTTACACTTGACACACTGTGGCGCTGTCTCCCTCACTGTCCCTCACTGGGTTATTTTACCCATTTTTATAATACAATAATATAAAATGTTTTCTTAATTATTATTATTTTATATTATCAATATATTTGTTTATATTTATGTTTTTGATGTTTAGATGGTAGTTTAATTAATTAATTAATAGTATATTTCTGGGGGGCTAGAACAAATGAATTGGTTTTTAGTTATTTTTAACAGAGAAAGTTCAATCGACATACGAGTGCTGTTGTGGAATGGCTTAAACTGGTATCTCGAGGTTTCACTGTATTTAATAGAACCATTGCCACTGTAGCTCAGTGAAGCAACAGGAAGGACACAAATCTGTGTTGTTCACCTGTTGGACATCCAGGTAGGCGAGGACATACAGAGGGCCGTGTCCAGAAATCCTCAGGACCTGCTCTCCTGTCCAACCTTCTGCAGGTGTTTCTGGAACAAATAGAACCTTGGAGCCTGGAAGACTCTAAACAAAAAAAAAACCCCAAACATGTCAATTCAAGGGGTGGCCAACTTTTCGTTCGTTTGAGTAGATTAATGGGAGGTTTAACATTGTGGTAGTAGTATCTAAAGCAGTGTTTTTCAACCTTGGTGTCGTCCAGAATTCTAATAGGGTTCACCTGAAATGTATAATAATTAAAAAAAACAAAACAAAAAAAACAAAACACTGATCTGATCTAAAAAGACACATTCAAGGCCTGAACTCACTCCTTGTGAACTCACTACACATACCTGAAGATAAACAAAGGAGACTCTTTGTCCTGACTGTTTCCCTCTGAAGGTCATAACCAGTCGACTCTCCATCTGTTTGGTGGACCAAGCGCAGTCTACGGTGATTCGAGCGGTCATTCCTGAAGCTCCTGGAACGACTTGTTCTTCGACCTGTGGAACGACGTATCTGTGGGGACAGATATTTTATAGACATCCCTCCCCAGGAAATAAAGGATTATTAGTGTTTCTGTCCACAAGGTTAAGAATCTAAATATTGTATTATTTTGGATCCCATCAACATGTGGCACCACTTTCAAACTCCACCTGTCAGTCATTATTACAAAGAGTCTCACTGCTAAGCTGAAGCGCTCTCCTCCACTGAATCCTCACCAATACCTTTATCATTACATGGTCTGCACCGCTCTACTTTGCTTTTCTGCCACTCCTGACCACCTGATACCATGACACATGAAACTCTTTTCCATATTCTCTCGTGAGTTGACCTTTTGACCAAAAATTGCAACTACTGAAACTCAGTTTTATACTAATCCACAGCAAGAAATTAAGAAATAAAATTTAAAATGTATAACAAAATTTTGACTTTGATATTTTCATGTCATCATGTTTTATTAGTAAATGTTTTAATTTTTTTTAGGCCAGTTCGGTTCTGTGTTTCTTGACAAGAAGGAAGACTTTCAACAATCTTCTGAAAGGACATGTCGTTACTACTGGGAACGGTTGACATGTCACTCCAGTCAGACCAGTAGGTGTTCTTGTAAATGCTCTGGGAAAAACCCTTTAAAAGGAAGTGTTCCTGTAAAGACGTGACAGGAGACACACTGTAGTGGTTGGTTCTCACCTCTCCAACTGTGTCAGGCCGTGTTCTTCGTGCAGACAGATAACATCTTTGACCACTAGGCCTGTCCTACGTGGCGTCGTCCTCTTCCATTTGACACAACCTGCTTTGTTGCTCTGTGGCTGCTACACACACGCACACAAACAAACAGCATACAGTCAGCACTGCACTGGTGTACTTTGCAGCCGTCATTCTAGTTTCACTTTCATTTTTCTCTAAAACATTGCAGTTGTACATGGTCCGAATGCTCAACATTTAAAAAAAAAAAAAAAAAAAAAAAAAAAACTGTTTCAGAGTAATAGAGTAATTTCTTTGACTTTCACCCCAGTTACTGTAGGTCGGCAGTGTTGTTGCAACAATGTGTTAATTTTTTATGCAAATAGTTGACAACAAAAAATCTTTAAGCCATCAGTACAAGGTAAGGTAACCACATGACCACGTGAAGGGCAGCTCAACTTTACCTCCAGTATTTTACTCTTTGACACCATGAGGGGAGGAAAAACCTGCAGAACAGGAAAAAATGCACAAATATGTGAAGGCATCAAATTCAAAGTCGGATTAAAATAATTTGATCAATTTATTCCAAAAAAAATATTTCATTTTTATTAAATTATTTTTTATTAATGTCTAATTCTCTAACCTCCATTTCTATCTCAGTTTCTTCTCCTAAGGCAGACACTGGCGAGCCGTGCACAGTCACGTGACTAGCAGGCAGCTCTGATTTGGGCTCGACCCGGGACCTGGATCGGATCTGGACTTCATCGTCAGACTCGGACAACTCCTCAGAATCAGGATCCAGGGGGTGCTCCCGGTTTCTCTGAGGTCAGGAGGAGGAGGTCATGCGACTTATGACACAGATTTCAGTTACAGTAATATTCAAAGCAGTAATCACACGGATACACACGTTTGAACTTCTCTGTTCCCAGTGCATTCTGGTCCTTCTGGTCTGTGGACTCTGAAAACAGATCATCAGATGAAGGCAGAACACTCAGTTCGACTGAGCCTTTGTTTTATGTAAATATCACAAAGGGCACACTTGCTGGGAAAACATTAAAGAAAGCCAACGTTTAGAGACAGCATTCCTGAAAACAGTGACGTGATTTTCTGTGTTCTTCCATAACACTGGGATTTCTCTCCTACTGAGAGTTGCAGAATCATTTTGCACTAACAAATAAAAACCATGTTTATTTAAATCTTTGGTTTTTAAGACCACAGTTCACCAGAGGCCTGTACTGCGAAGGAGGATTAACATAACCAGGCTTTGTATTCACAGTCTGGCTTAACAAAACCTAAAGCCAACAATCAGAATTAAGAGGTACCATGACGGCGTTTATCAACTTGCTTTGTCGAGTCACGGTTTTGCACTCTTCAGTGTTCACATAAAACAAGACGTTTGGCGTAATTCAACTTCCACACACAAAAAGAGCGATCCTGGGCAACGTATTTCAAAGTTATGAGGAATGTAAAAAAAAAAAAAAAACCAAACATTTCCAAAGGCCAACACGTCCCCCCCCAAAAAAGAAAAAGGGTGATTTTGATAACAGATCGCAAGTGTGTGTCAGGATGAACCAAGTGAATCGACTGTTTCTGTACAATGACAATAAAGACTTTTTTGACAGTGAAAACAGTTCAAGCCTGTAAGACCTGCATTTGGGCTTACAATGCCCAATAACAGGTAAAACGTTGATTTAGTTTATTCAGTTTATTCATGGCCTCAACACAGTGAAATAATTGGTGGTGAAAAATTCTAATCTCAGGATTATAGTGTTTGTTTAACAGATAGCGTCAGTGCAGAGGGATTTTCCTCTGTGGGAGTAAGAAAATAAAGAAAAATAATATGATATGACTTAGAGAAGTTAAACCATGGACTTGGTTGTTTTTTTTTAACCATTTCCTCCAGCCTTTATATTTAAAGGGCCAGATTCAACTTAAAGGCCACATTGGTCCTTTGGACTGACCTGAGACCAGCCTGTGTTTCATCTTTTATTCTGCAACTTGGTAACAAAAATATGTTTGTTTTTTACATGGAAAGATGAGAAGCTGATGTTCTGGATTTAACTGGGACAATTTAACACTTACTCAGGTTTTTCGAGGCCAGGATATTAGCGGTGCCTAAAGGCCTAAATTAAAATAAATAAATAAATGCATATATAGAGAGGACTGTAATAGCCATTAACTAAGCCTCCGTAAAAGTTAAAATGAAAATCGCACTAAGATACTCTCCAATCATCGTGTGCGTTAAACACTGAAGACTCACCTGGTTGAAGCTGTGCTCCTCCTCCTCCTCCTCAGTGGTCGGCATTACCACACAGGGCTCGTCTGAAGAAAACAACTTCATCTCAATGTTTTCCCTGAAGGCCAGCAGCACCGTCTTCTTCTCACCCAGCTTCATGCTTCCACAAATCTGACCCAATTCTGATCTTTCTGTCGTTTCTGAATTGCTGCTCTGCTTTTTCTGAGCAGTCCTCACTGTCCCCCAAGGTTGTTGATGTCCTTCTTTCCTCTCAGTCTTCTCCTTCATTCATCAAACTGTTCCAGCCTTGCTTCCATTCCTCCTTTTTCTCCTTCTTCTTCTTCTTCTACTCCCCACAAGACAAACAAATCACTGGTGTTCTCCTCTGTCCTGCAGCAGACCTTCCAAACATCTGAGCTCTCATTACCTCAAGGTGAGCTCTATCAGAGTTCTAAGCTCTAATTGGCTGAAAATCATCCTTTCTTGCCTTTGATTGGTTCCGTCCACAGTTGTAAGGCTTGTTTGAATGCTGTGGTTGGCTGAAAATTGATTCAAAGATACAAAACAGTTAAACTTTAGAGTATAGATTCAGTCAGAGCTAATGATAAAATACAAACAAACAAACATCAAACGTCTTTAGTCGACTGTTCTATCTCGGTGCTGATAAATGAATCACTTTATTGATCACTTCAACATTACTGATTGCTTTATTTGACCCACAGGAAGTCTGACCCGATACTCAGGTTACCACTGAGGTGCTCTGAACATGGCACCGTCCTCACTCACTGCTCCCCGGGTGCTTAAAGCTGCCCCCTGTTCACTTTGGTGATGGGTTAAAAGCAGAGGTCACATTTGGTTTTGTGCAGTGGTGAGCTGTGTCACAATGACAAGGAGTTCACTTTCCTTCCTGTGACACTGAAACAGCTTTAAATATCCAGTCCATTTACAGTTATTTTCATTCTAGTTCTTACTGTGTTGGTAATGCAAAAATCTGTGAGAAACATTGGTCACATTTTATAAATAACCTTAATATAAACCCTCAGTCATAACTTTTTATTTGTATCAGTGAAAACATTTGGAAGTGGAAACATTTTCCAAGCTTTTTAAAAGAATACTTTAGACAGCTGCATATACAGTGAGACAGGATTACTGTAGGAATGGGAAAAAAAATGAAGGAAGTCTGACAATGATTTAAAGTTTGTGTTTTTAAGGACTGATGTTTAGGCTTGTGGATATAATCACTGAAGAATGAAACTTGAAAAACTGTTTTTGTTTGTACATCTGTAATTTTGGTCAATTTATAATTTTAATTGAAAAAACAAACACCTGGTTTCACCTATTGGAGCATAAACTTGCGATTTAAAATGTTTTTATATTCACTATTTTACATTGGTTCCGAAATGTTTTTTTTCCTTTTCAGGAAACAACACAGTGGCTGCTGGAAGTTTTAAATCAGGTGTGTTTTGTGTATTTTATTGATACTGTTTGACATTCCTGACGGACCATAAACAACACAGTCTGACGTGACGTCTCGATGTCACAAGGTGCAGTCACACTTCATTCCGTTGGTAACACAAATAGTGAGATTGTCAATACTGTATGACAGCAAACACCAGGACCTCACATTCTGTCTTTAGCTTACATACCTGATACACACTCTGGATCTCAGTCAGATATCGCAGGAGTATTTACTGGAAACAGTAATGTTGCACTGTTTTTTTTTTTGTTTTGTTTTTTGGAAGCCGGCCTGATTTCTGTCAATCATGTGTTCAACCATCCTGAAAATTAATCTAGGCTTTAAAACAAACTATTCACATTCACTAAGCTGTGATGAAGTGAAACAGAATGGCATGTTGATATTTATCTGTTCAGGATATGGACTGCAGACTGCCTAATACTGATATACTGATCAGTCTGAAGGAGAGTTCTTTATAAATATATGAATGTGCAGTGATTTAACTACTGTGTTTTGGTCTGACCAAAGTGGGGATGGGGATGTGTTGGCAGGGAGAAAGGTGTGTGAGAAAGTTGGACAAGTGGCCAAACAAATCTGAGAAATTAAATAATAATTAATAATTACTGCGTTTTTAAGCGTGTTTGTCATTCACCCAGTGTTTTACTACAAGAAAAACTCCAAACACTTAGATTTGTGCAGATCTTTGAAAATTAGTTTGTCTTTGTTCGTGTGCGTGTGTGTCAGGCCAGCAGGTGTTTTTGGGTACACGTCAACAGGTGAGGCAGAAAATATGACGCTGTGCCATCATCAGGTAGAAGCTCCAGGAATTGGGTGGGATTGGTCTCCGCGGCAACCACCACCAGTGTCTCTGTTGACGAATAAACACAGAACACTAAATATCCTTTGATAAATTAAATATTGTTCACATAAAATGCCTGGCTTTTTTCTACCTTTGAGAGCAGCCAATAAGATGCTGTTGTCTGCAGAGGCTCTGGTCCGATTACAAAGCTCTGGCAGCAGCTTCTGCCACCACAGTTCCTATGGACAGATCGTCATGGAAACTAGACTTTAACCTATGTCCATAAATGCAAATAATAATTTAGGTATGATTCTTGTAAATGTAAGTATATTACCAAGTGCTTGTCTTGTAGGTGATGATTAGCGTATGCTATAATGGCCTGAGGGCATCGGTCTAACAACGTTCCAATGCTGCTGTCATATCGCCCCCTTCTGGTCTCGCAAAGCAGGTGCAGACTGAAGCCCCACATGGTTTCGTCTGAGAGTCGCTCCAGCAGAGGCAGGACGAATCCAACAGACAGAGGACCACACAACAGAGACTGAAGGTGAGAAAGACACATATGTAAAATATTAATAATAATAAAAATTAACAAAAATCTTGCATTTAAAATAAATATTTTTTATCAATCTCTGTATTTTACAGGTTAAAGTTTTATTACATTTCAATAAAATATCTAGACTTTTTTTTTGGCTAAATTCACAAAACCCAACAAAGAAAAACTACTTTTTAGACATATTAAAGAAATTGCCAATAGATAATAGATAATATTTGGTTATATTATATATATATTTAATAGACAAAATATTTGGATTACCAATACATATTAAAAAATATACAATTTGACACTGTGACAGACAGCCATTCAAAGTAACCTTCTAAAAGACGTCACTGGTTAGAAAAAAACCCAGCATTTTACATCTGGCTTCCAGGCCACATTTGTCAAATTACCTGCAGTTTGTGTAACGCCTCCTGGTGTAGGCAGCTGGTAGTGTAAGGAGGACAGAGAATGATGAGCCATGGATACAAGGCACCGTAATGGGAGCATGAGTTGATCTGAAACAAGGACAAATGTTTTCAAAGTGAAATTTAACTTGAATTAAAATGCACTGAAAAAAATATCTGTGAATTATAAACACGGCATGAACGTACCAAATCATCTGCGCTTTTGAGTGACTTGTGTCTCAGGGGTGACTGAGGGAAAATGGAGCGTTTATCAGGATTAGTGCACAACAGTCGATCAATGTAGACAGAGGTGAGTCTGAACAGAAGCTCCTGGATGACGGCGTCCTGTGAAGAAGCCATGAGTGTTGCCTCCCAGAAATCCACCAGGAGGCAGTTCTCACAGCCCAGCTCCTGCACACAGACACACACACATTCCAAAAACATATTTTTTTCTGCTATCCTTTTTCAGATTATCTTGTATTCAACTGCTGATGAAGGCCAAGAAAGTCCAAATGAAAACACACCTTGAAGACACCGTCCGCCTGTTCCAGCTGAACCTTGTTGTTCTCGTGTAGAGCCACCATGCCGGCCACCAGGAGGCCTGGCTGGGACTTTGCCAGCTGCTGAGTCAGGGCTGTGGGGCGGACGTATGCCTGGGAGCCTCCACCTCCACCGTGAATCAGCAACCTGGGCTCCTCGATGAAACCATACACCAGAAGCATCTGAACCCAAATGTACCCAGAGAAAGAGTGAGGGTGAGAGAAGGGAGAGTGGGGGGGGGGGGGG